ACACACTGGAAGAATTTAATCTGGCCCCTACAAAACACTCTGATCCTTGCAAATCTTTTATTTCGTTTGTTTTCCTTGATCCTTTTTTCAGATCTGGGGTTTTTATAACTGAAGGAAAATTCAAATAAATCAGCAACCAGAGAAAATGCCAAACAACCACAGTCAAACTTTCCCAGTATTTTAAACTAATAGACTCCCTTCTCAAGATATTATGCCTAACAGGATTTGATTGTGCTTTCTCAGCCGGAGAATTTCTGTCAGTACCTCTGCCAAGTGCACGGTCTCACGGAGGGAGGATTTGATAGAGATCCAGGTTAAGTCAGCCTCTTCATTCAGAGACAGTGACTGCCAGCCCCACACAGGCTGCAGCGAGGCCACCCAAATGTTGAGTTTCCACTGAGGAAAGCCAAGTTCCCCACACTCGTTTTTTATTTTTGCAACCGTAGCAGGGCTGTGTCCTTGGGTTCTTTCCATGCCAAATAAAGCGTCTGCACATTTTGTCTAGTTCATTATTGTACTGTTGAGGCACTTTATACCAGGAACACCTGCAAAAGTAGAGGTCTGAAGAAACAGATTCCTTTCTGACAGGTTAATCAACTCGAGGGTAAGAAATTATCGTGCTAGATCTGTAACCACATTTGCAGCTTGCCTTGCAAGGGCAGCTTGTGAAGATTAAACTGGCTGGGAATATTCTGAGCCCTAGGCACAGAGCACTCTGTGAGACATGGCTAACATAAACTGCTCCAAGGCAGAACCTGCCATCCAGCACAGCCACGTAAATCTGGAGTAACACAGGTTGCTTCGAGGATGTTACTTCATATCCACCCAACAGAAGGACAGAATTTGAATGAATTACCCATGAACAGGGAATAAAGGACATGTCCAGTAAATAATACATTTCTGGGTTTTCTGCCCTTCATGACTCTCTCTCATAAATGTTTCAGCCTCAGTCTGATTGCTGCTTCACTATGTCAGCCAAAAAACCAAACTGAGCAGGTGCATTTTGGTGTTGTTCACATCTGAGGCTGTTAAGGCTCAAGGTGAGGCATACACACAGGAAAAACCCCTGATTTCTGAGTGTGACATTGTCCTCTCCAGAGCCATAACTGAAATGCCCCAACACACATTCTGTGGCTGCTCTTGGTCAGATATGGCTTTTGTTTATTTTTTATCTATTTCTGAACTGAAAAATAGGGGAAGCAGTTTTAAATTCATAAAAATCAGTTTGGTCCCAGAGTGTCAATTGAAGCATTTTGGCATTTATGGAATGATTCATTTCACTCTGAAGAAGTCAGTATGAAGTCTCAGAGTATTTCTCACCCTGCACAATGCCGCCACACAGGCTGGCACTTGACACCAATTTCGGAGTAGTTTTGGTTCCTCCAAAACTTAATTTTTCGGGGGATGTCCATTCAGTGAGTAATGAGTCAAATTTATCTAACATTACTGTTGGATCCTTTCTATTCACTTACTTTATTCAGCAGCTGCACAATCTCTATAACAATACCTTCCAGATGTAAGATACCTGATTAGAACCAGTCTCTGTTCCCATAACTTGCTGCATGAGGTCAGGTTGTTGTCCCCTTGATTGGATGCACCCGGACACACCCCTACTGTGTTACAGATGCTCTTGGTGCTCCTGACCAGCAATCCAACACTAACTTGGGAGCAAAATGCCTTAGTGAGATTTGAAGAACTACATCCATGACTGGAGACACACAGACTGTTAAGAAACATCCTTTTCAGAAAATCTGAAACTACTCAGTTTTAATTTCAACTTTCTTGCTGAGCTGACCATCGTATTTTAAGCCCGTCAAATGTGTTTTATCAATGTGAAATACTGTTTATTTTTGCTCATTTTTGCACTTTCCAGATCTTTACTGAGCAGACTCTTTCCGGCATTTCGCCCCCAATGTAGCTTACTGTAATTCATTGCTCATGACTGCCAAGAAATGACAATTCCAAAATACAGTTATTTTGCTCCTAGAAATTCCATCATTTTTTCATTATTGCCAGTCCAGCAGAAAGCAACCAGAAAACTGAGATGAGCCTCTTAAACAGGGCAACGATGAAACCTCAGTTATAGATTTGTGCATAATTCTGACATGTCCAGCCACAAAAGAGTAACCTTAGTCTCAGTAGAACAAATGACCACCTGCACATTCTCACTGTCTGAGAAATTACTTCCTCCATCTTGTCCATTCTGCTGTTATTTGCTCTCCTGTGTTCTCCATTAGGACTGTCTTTCCATTGCCAAAACCAAGAAAAAAAGGATACGTTCTTGCTGGATGTAGACTTTGTCCTCGTGTAGGGGTTTTATTCACTTTACTATTTATTTTGCAGGAATGTTTTAAACATTTTTAATAATAGAATTACACTGATGAGACCTAGTAAAGGAGTAGGTATAAATTACTCTTGCCCTTTTTGCAGCTTAATATTCCCTCAGTTCAGAGGGAGAAATTGCTGGCCTGGCAGAACTAGATCCACAAGGAGTGGGGTGTTTTAATGGTACTGGCACAGCTGGAATGATCTGGCTGATGGGTGTAGACAAAAAACAACAGGTTTTTGTTGTCAAGGGTCAAAATGAGAATTATCTGGAGGGACAGCATTCCATGATCTGCAATACATTTCCAATGTTCATTGGTATTCCTACTGGGAAGCAGAAAATTAGGGGCTATCTATACCTGTCACCTACAGAGTCACCTTGAAACCCCATAATGAAATATCAATAACTGAGGATAGCTTTTTGCTAAAAAAATTACTGACAGGCATAAAATAACAATCACCAGTAGCTATAAATGCATTTTATGTCTTGGGTATTTTCCTGGCAGACTGTAGTCTTTCACTGAGTTAGGCAGTAGCAGTCCTAGATTTGGATAACTTGTGTTCAGAAGAATAGCAGAATGTTTTTTGAGGTGCTGGAGGAAAAAAAGTGGACCTTATTTTTTAAATCAGTGTACCATAATTCTCCTTGGTTAGCACAACAGCATAATTCCCTCCACATATTGAGTGGTCCATTTCAGTTTATTCTTTTTGCAATATGCTGTATGTAAAGAGGAAGGAGATGAGATAACTCTTCCTGGAGAAAATCCAGAATGTTAATTAAAGAAATGGCATTTTGGCATTCATTCCTTACTTGCTGGAGTTCATGCCCATACTGGTATTTCATGTCTTGCTTTCCTGTTAAGAGCTTTCTAAGATGACCTTCTCTACAAATATCTTTTTTTTTTTCTACCTCTAGAGTTCCTAAAAACAGAGACACAACATAACCACTTATTTGGCACTAGAACAGTCACACAAGGTGGACCTGAGTGTCAGGTCAGCGGAACCCCCAGTGGGCTGGGTGACAGCATGGGTTAGTGCTAGACAGACTGGAGGAACGGCATCAGATTTGGACCCAGAAGATTAGAAGTCACATTCCTATACCTTGGCACATTGTATGTAAAACCAGAGTGCTTGAAAAACATTGAGTTTCTCAAATTCATGAGGTCAGTTTAGGATTTGGAGTCTTTCAGACAGCATATCCATATACACCTTTTTTATAAGGCTTCTTGATTTTTGATTCATGTTTTCATGCTTTTCACTCTATCACATTAACTAATTCAATGTAAACATGAAGGATGTTTGAAAGTGGACACTCTTATGTAAGCCATTTATGCCAATGGCTGTGACTTTAATTAAATCACTACAACATCCAAATGAACCACATAAAGTCTGACACTTTGCTTCAAAGGCCTAGGACTGAGAATAAAGATTTTTTTTTTTATCAACTCACAACTTTCAAAACCCTTTCTGCAACTAATTGCTAATAAATGCAGCAACATCTGCTGGTCAAAGAAGTGGCACAACTTTTAATTCCAATCAGAGATTCTGGACTGTTTATTTTACATACTTGATTTAATTCTGCTGCTGAGGTGGACAGTCATTTAAATGAGCCATCCTCATTCTCTTCCTTTTCACTGTTACCACTTTAGGAAGCAAATATGCTCAGTTCTACAAATGAAAATGTAAAAAACCAACCAACCCAAAGTTCAGTATCAACACATAATACTGAAAACAAAATAAATGGCAGCCTAATTTTATAGTCACAGCTGAAAGATCCTATTCATACAGACTACTTTAAGACTGAGACTCTTTCATAAATAAGAAATGACTCTTGAACAGTAGTTCAAGATCCTTGTTCCATTTACATTGTCATCAATCACTTTCCAATCACAAAGATGAGAATAAAGTCAGTTGTCATTTTTACTCTGGAACTAATAAATTCCACAATGTCTTTTAATGAGCCCTGGTTCTCCTCTACCACGGACAAGTGTGAATCACACCTTTACACAATGTGAACAGCTTCTGCCCCATCTGTCACCCCTGTGGCTTTCTCCACCCAACCAGCTCTTTGGCAACTCCCTGCCCTCCATGGAGTGCACTGCTTCAGTCTCCCAAGCTCCTGTCAGGTGGGATGTTCTCCCTTTATTCCCTTCTAACCCTAGCTGGTACAGGAATAGCCACTCCAAATACCCGCTTCCTTCCTTTGCTCCACGCAGAGGAGCAAAGAGAGCTACTTTTTTGACTTTTCCGTGGCTCCTTCCTCTCCTCACTCGGAATCAATGGATCGTTCCGACCGCCTGCCCTGACCTTCCTCACCCTGATCCCGATCTGAATCCCCCCGATCCCTCTCTCACATCCCGCGACTCCCCACCGGCCCCGCCGGGTCCAGGGAGGAGAGCTCCGTCCTCCCCCCCCGCGTCCCGGCAGGAGCCGCCGCTGCCTTCCCCCGTGCCGGCTCCCGCCGCTTCCCGCCTCTATGTCGGTGTTCCATGACGAGGTGGAGATCGAGGACTTCGCGTACGAGGAAGAGACCGGGACCTACAGCTGTCCCTGCCCCTGCGGGGTCCGAATCCTCATCCCGCGGCTGAGGGCCGGCCGGGCGGGGCCTGGAGGCGGGAGCGGCCTCAGGCCGCGGGTGGGCCCGTGGTCTGTTCTGTGGCCGCTTTCCCGGGGCTCTTGCAGGAGAACCTGGAATGCGGGGAGGACGTGGCCACTTGTCCCAGCTACACCACCTGAGTTCGACCCAAAAGGTGATCTCTGCTTCCCATCCAGAGTGTTTTTCACGTGTTCCTGCCACTTCCCGGAGGACTGGGAGGTAGGCTTCCCTTACGCTTGGGCGTGCTCAGGTGATTTGTCCGGCCACCTAAGTTAGGGCAGGGAGGGCTGAGGTGTGGAAGAAGCCTCTGAGGGTGCCTGGATCTTCCTGACCAGTGAAATGCTGGGGGGCACCCCGAGTGAATCAAATGCCAAGATATTAAACAGCAGGACCGCTGCCTCCAGCTTTGAGGGCTCAGTCCTGGGCCCTTTTCCCCAGCCTTCTGCTTTGTCCTTTGCCCTCCAGAGATTACTTTTGTAGATCAGAAGAGATGAAAATCACCCCAGGTGCCAAGTAGAGCAAAGAGAGAGCAAATGGCCTGAATGCATGATTATTTAGAGAAAACCATTTCCTGCCTGGCATATCATTATGAACTTGCAGCATAAACCTAAGGCTATTGTTATTGGGTTGTTGGGTTGTTCTACAGTGCTGTAAAACGAAATTGGGAATTGAAATTAAATTCAGCCTTTCCCATTTGCCACCTTATTCTTTCCTTCTTAAAATCAAATATTGATTTTCCTCATTCTGCTTAGTTAACAGTCTTTGCTAGTTTGTAATTGTTATAAACACATTTGCTAGAGCTGTCAAAGCAAATTCCAGCAAAACAATTTTTTATTGAAATTTTCCAGCTTGTTGAAAGCAAGACATCCCAGAGGAAAAGGTTCTTTCTTATGATGGGTCACAAGGAAGCAGAGCCCAGCACCTTGTCGTGAGCAGCCTGGCCTGGGAACCTCTCTGATCACTGCCTGTGTGACATTCCAGCTCTGTTTCAGAAAGCAAAGGAAATGGTGAGTCTTGTTCCACACTGAAACCAAACTTGGAAACCTTGGTAATTCCACAAAATGGAATCACCGCTATCTGCCAAGCCTGAGCATCATGTTATGTGTCATCTTGAATGAAACTGTACGAAATTGTGTATTTTTGAGAAAAGACAGACATCTTCTTGTGATTAGCAAATTATAGTCTTGTGGTTCTTATTTTGCTTATCAAGTTATTTTCCAATGTCAAGACCTATTTTGTTTCACCCTTGCCTCTCATTGCTGATTTAAGAGTTGTTCTTGGCACTAGAGAATCCTAAGAGTTCTGTCACAGGCTACACTCAGAAGCAGCAGCTGGAGCTGAAACCGTTCATTGTTTATGTAAAACTAGAAGTTACTTCCTTAACATCAGCACCAGGCTCTGTTCCTGGGCTTGTACGTGGGCATATTTACGCAGACACCACAGACTGACCACAATTTGTTACTCTAGGAAATTAACGTTCCCTTTGCTTCTGCAAATAAAGGGATCAACAGCACACTGCCCTGAAGAAGTGGCTCTTGGCTCTGTGTGGGAGCTTGCTAGGGCAGCTGCTGATCCATCAGCTGAGCTGCATGAGCTCAGGAAGCATGGATGCTCAATCAGACTTAAGCGGCCTTCCAATGGTTTGGTGACTGATTGGTAAGTGAAGGCAGATCCTGGCAGCACAGATGATGGGTTTTCAATGGGTATGACACATACACGAACTAGATAAGACAACAGAAAGGCAGGGGTTTAGATGGACAACTTGTCTGATGAGAAATTTACTGCAAGGCTTATTTTTTAATTGACATGATGAATTTTATGCATCTACCTGCTTGAAATACTCTGATTATGAAACTCTTTGTTCACTGCTTGGCTCTTGAATTCTAAGCGGGCAAAGTGTGTGCTAATAAGAGGGAAAGAAAGAGAAGATGACAGAATGCAATGACCTGTTGTCTCTGTAGGACTGTTTTGCATTAAATGTTTTGGTTTGACTACAGCTTTTGATCGCTTTTGGTTCGTTCAGTAATCCCAAACTGTATGTGTAAAGAGAGATTGACAGAAATAGCCTCTCAGTGGCTCATACTCAGGTGTAAATATCTGATGCTCTCAATCTTGAGAGATGAACTCCTGACAGTCAGAGTAACAGCTGATTTTCTTTCAGCGCTGAGATTAAATTTTTTATGTAATTATTACATTAAATGATGAAAAAGAGACTGTAAAAAAACCCCCAGTTTTCACCTAGTAGAATATTAAATTAAGAAAAAATACAGTGAAAAATATAATACTAAAGGATGTAATCCTCTAAAGCTCATTTATGCCTGTAACAATACAAGTGACATTATTAGATTATTTGTTGTCAGTCTGTAAGACTGAGGGATTAATAAATGTGGGAGCAATAAGCAGCTGTGAGCTGCCTGAAGTGTGTGCCAGAGATCACGCTTTCCAGAGACTCTCCTTTCCAGGAATTCTACTTCTGTAGTCCCTATTCAGACCTTTCCACTGAAACCAATAGAAATTATGGCAAAGGTCTACAAAATCAAGCCCCCTATAAGATGTCAGTGGAGGCAGAGTCCTAGTCTACATTTCTGTAAGACTGTTAGGTGATGGCTAAATGAGAATATTGCCACTGGAGGCTTTCCAACTGGGTTCTTTGCAGACCAGCTGTGCTGCAGCATGAAGAAAATGAGACATTAACAAATCATCACACAATGAAGAAAATTAAAATACATTTAACTGTGTACTGATATACTTTATTCAGGGCCGACGTGCAGTTTGCATAGCTTAAAAACACGAGCTTAAAAACATGTGACCAATGTTTGCAAAACACTCCTTTTTTTACTCTCTTCCAATACGTTTGCAATTTGAATCAAGTCTTCAAGTCTGTATTTTCTTCCATTTGTCATTAGCTGGGAGAGGAATAAACCAGGCTGTTTAGTTAAAGTGTTGTCAACCATAAGGTGACCTGTTCTTGAATCTGACCTTTTAGCTCAGCTTCACAGGTGGGTTTGGCTCAAAGCATTCATTATGCCTGGATTGCCAAATTCAAGGAAACAGGTGGAGCTAGACTATAAGATGTTTATTTGTGTTTTGCTGGAATTCCTTTGTTCTTGCCCAAGGCTATACTTCGCAGGCCTTCAAAGCTTAAACTGCTTTGTTCTTGCATGAAACATTCTGTTCTTATGTTTCTCTCCTGTCAGTGGGAATTAGCAGAACCTGGAATGTTGACCCTGTCTAAATACAGAGCTGAAAGCATGTTTTGTGATGCTGAAGGCATCACTATTGCATGAAAGATGGGCAAAAATGAGGAAAACACACCAGCACCCTTAGCAGAGACTCTTTGTTGAGCCCACTGCCATGAGGAGAAGGTTTCAGCAGATGGATCCAACCACAGGGGCAGGGTGTAAATGACCACAATAAGGAAATAGTATTGGTACAACCAACCAATGCATTTAAAAGGTATACAGGAAGGAATCTAGGAAAAACAGGGATAAATGCTTTCCCTTTGGGGCTTTTTTTGTGTGTAATAATAAGCTGTGTTTATATTAGAGGGAAGTGTGCTCCATGACATGGTACACAATCTGTGTACCCTGGATGTCTCTGTACAGAGACCTCTTAGACCACCTTGTAGCTCCCTTCTGGCCTGTGCTCTAGAGTTTAGTTTGCTTGGAAATCAAACACACATTCACTCTATTACTAAACAAAAGAAGTATTTTAACAATTATTTTCTAAATGGTACTGAACCATATATTTTCATTTTATTGTTGGAAGAGGTATTAGGTAATGTATTTTTCTACTGTACGTATATCTACAGCAAACCTTACTTTCTACATTTTTATCATTATGTTACAAAGTAACATAAGATGAAGATGTCCATGTCTCTGAAATTTAATTCCAAACATCTCCTTTCTAAACCAAAAATCTTTTCATTCTTCTTTGCGATACATCCCACTTCTGTTCAATTACCATATTTATATACACATTTTTTTAACATTAACCCAAATGCTGAAGGAATGATATTCCTAGTGTAGTGTCCAAAATAAAATAAATAATACATAATTTAAAATCTGGAATACTTATAATTTTAAGTAAAGGAATCGTGTCAAAAAACAGCATTTTACTCAGCTTTTATGCAATTTAAAAAATTCTCTCTTCTCACCCTAAATTTGGGCAATGGTCAGGGATCACTTGGTGCTCTGGAAGAGGTTGCTACCATCTTCTCAGATGAAAGTTGAAGCATTTTAAGAATGTCACAGGAAATTTTAAGCAACACTGCAGCAATAGTATTAGATTCTGATGCTATCAAAGAAAGCAGGAGTAATAATCAGGATGATTGAAGTGATGCCTGAATATAGTGTGGAATTTGTAGCACTTGAAGTAGACAGGGAACCAGACACTGGGAAAAATTTTGGACAACACTGCAAACGTGATTTTTGTGTCTTCTGTTGTAACCAATTTTATATGCTCAATATCAGTTTATTATGATTTACCAAGAGCAGGTGACTGGAAGGCTCTGAGCAGAATATTCTGTTATTCCTTCCTTTCTCTAAACAATGTGCTGTACATTAAAAAAAAAACACCACAATTTTTTCTCTTGAAAAGCATCTCAAAACATAACTAAATTTCCTTAATGATGCCCCCCCTTTAATAAATACCTAGGATCATGACTGATTTATACTATAAATTGGGTGTGATGCTGATGTGCGAAGACTCCCAAATCTTTGTTCTGTCTCAGCTGGCTCTTGGGAAGTGTCATCATTATTGATTTTAACTCCAAAATTGAAAGTACCCTAACAAAATACTAAAGTGGAAGTCTGCTTGGCTACTGCATGCTGTGTGAGACCATTCTTGCTACCTAACCTCAACTCTCATTCACCCCTTTGAAAGACAGCAGGTCAGCAGCAATGCAGGCTCTACAGAAGTTTCTCTAGGAAATTTGGTCTTTTGAGGACCAACCTGGAGAGCCATGACAGCAAGAATCTACGGTTCCTTCTTGGCTAAAACTCACAGAGTGAAAGACTTAACTGAGGCTGCAAGCAAATGGAAGCAAGCACCAGTATTTTCTTCCTGGGCAGCTACTGTTGAAAACTGTTGTTTCCCTTCACTTGCTGTTTTCAGCCAGCACTTCTGTTACTGTAATAATAATAATAAACTCAGCCCATGGCTTTACAAGAGCAAATGGATGCCACCAATTCTGCTTATAATTCTCTGCAAATAAGCAGAGAACCTAAGCTGTTACCCTTCTTTCTACCACAAAAGTTTCCTCAGGAGTTGTTCCTAAATGTCATTAAAACAAAACAAAAAGTTGTTTTTTCAGTCTCATTCTCCCATCCAAAATAGATTGTGGACTAAGGATTTAAGGAAGGGTGTGCCAAACGCTGAGGACTGTTAGTATTCCAAGTCGATTAGTGCCTAATTAAGTGCTACTTTATGCTCTGTGTAATCTCATAGAGGGTAGAAATTTGACTCAGGCTAGTTGGAAAACAAAGTTTTTGCTATTACATGTGGAAACCTCTACTACTTATACATATAAAACTTACTTTTTTTTTTATATGAGTCGAGTGCACTGTTAAACAAGGTTAAACTCTTATCCTGGTTTGGCTGGCTTCCTCTTACAGTTTCAAAAGTCTCACAAACATTAATTTTCCTGTATCCTCCGAAGTCACAGAATATGCTGAAGACAGGCTGTCTGGAAGCCAATTTTCCATGTTGTTTCAAAGGGCAAACTTAACTGTCTTCTGCAATAGCAGAGTTGAGAATCTATTGGTGCTCAGTCTCTTTATTCCCTGCTTCTCAGAATAAATAGAAATTTTAGCTAGAGCTGAATAAATCAGGAGCCAGGCTTTTAGATAAGAGACCTTCCTAACTTCCCTGCATGCTACAGCAAACACAAACATCTTTCTTGTCCATGCAGGAAATGCATCTTAAATCCCAAGCAGAAGTAATGTTAAATTTTGGAGACTCGACCTCCACAGAGACTTGTCAGTCATCTCTGATGTAGCCCATGGGAATGTTCAAATTGCCACACCTGATTTGCGTTCTTGTTACACACAGACAAAAACAAGTCCATCTCATCTTCACTCTTTGCTGCCTCCATGCATTTGCTAGAAAGGATGTGGACAATCATTCCATTCTACAAGGTGAGAGAAGAAGGGAAAGAAAGAACAAAATAAAAATAAAGCTAGAAAATTTTTATATACAGCAGATCACCAGTAAGGACTTGTTGTTCAAATATTTTTAAGTATTACTCCAAATACAATGAGTAGGTTTAACTTTGTGCTCAGAGCATGGTAAATATGCATAGTTCCTTTTGAAGCTGACAGGAGTGGTAGGTGCAGAATTCTTTTCCACCACTATTTGTTTCCTGTGGCTACAGATTGTCATCAGCATCAGCCTCACTACTACCGGCCACAAAATTTCACAGTGCTTCCCTTAGGAATCAAACCAAATTACAGCAGGAACTGTCCCAGAGGCTTTCTGCATCCCAACAACTACAGTAACTGCTGTTTTCCGGCTGTCCCAGAGCATGAGGTTATTCAGTCCTGTAGAGGAGTTCCTGCTGGGTGAAGTCCACTGAATAATATTGAATTCCTCTGATATTGCTCTTCTCTTACAGTACAGGAGGAAATTTAATGTTTCCCACTAAGAGCTCCTCACAAAGAGCTCTCATTTGGGAGGGTTCAGGATTCCCAGACCCTTTCTCTATCCAAAAGAAGTCAGCAAAGATTTGCCCTGCTCTTATTTTCACAACCACTGATTCTGATTCTATCCTATAAGACAAACAGTGAAAACAAGGACATAGGAATAAAGTTAGGATCTCTGTACTTTGTATTTCTAAACGAAATGTATTTCATATAGTGTAAATGAGCAAGAGGCATCCTAAGTTTTCTGGCTGAAAATGGTACAGAAGTGAAACTTGCCCTTCAAATACCTCATCCCTTCCCCACATGAATGCTGTAAATCACCCAGTGATCCCACAGTCACCATCAGCTGCCTTTCCCTCACAGCAGAGACACTACTGACCTCCTGGACATCCCAGTGCTGGTGGCTGTTGTCTGTCTCCTTTGTACAGTTTTGAGGGATAACCTTCCCGTGTCTGACATCAAAGCAAAACAGTGGAGCAGAACCAAGCCGGATTTCCTTCATGCCGTTATATTCAAAGTGCTGGAAGAGGGAGGGTTTGTTTGAACAATGATGGACAGACATCCCAATTAATTTCTAAATGCTAATTCCATAAACAATTTCCTGTACATGTTTGTTAAGGTGCAACCCAAACATGAGTGACAGAGACCCAACAACCTTGACCCTTCAAAGCAATCCCCCCTGCTAGCTAATTCTGGCATAACTATTTACCTAAGAAAAGGCCTTATGAACTACAATTATGTATAAAGTAAACCCATCCTATAATAAAATTTTCTAGTTTAATAAATATTTGAATAGAAGGGTGTTTCTGGCAGTGTCCTCACACAATGCAGTTAGAAATGTGCCTGCAGCTTACCCTGAGCTCAGTGTGAGCAGGAAAACTTGCCTGGGACTTGGAATAAATATCTGCAGTCAGTCTACATTGGTTTGGCTTCTCTTAAAGCATGAACTTTCTGGACTAATTTCAGTTTGGGAGTCTACATGAATTTTCCTCCTGCTTTACACTGCAGTTTAGACACTAAACCAGTTTTAGTCACTAATGGGGGAAACCCATTCCCATTATTCTGGAACTGTTATGTATTTTTTACTCACAGGCTTTCTGTTCCCCAGACATGACCAAATACACCAAACAAATAGGCACTTAATGATGTCTGCTGGAGCAAAGTGTGTCTATCAGTGACACATGAAACATTGCCATTTTTCAAATTACTCATCTTCAGAAGCGTGGGCGTCAATACCTTAACATATGCCTAATTCTGAACACATCAGTTATTTCCACCAGTGTCAACCCAGCTACTTACACGTTGGAGTGACTGTCTTCAGGATGGTTCCCTAGATCTGACACAATGCCTGTATACTCAAGGTATACATTACCTGGGTGAGACTGTCACTGCAAGGTGAGAGTTTGATAGAGCTTTCTGCAGTGGCTTTTCCAGGTCTGTAATCTGCACAGAAGCCAACACCAGTATTGTAAAGCTGTAAGTAAAGATTTATACTGACATAACTCACAATTGGATACAACCAAAATATCCTTCAGCTAACATTTTTGTAATTGTATCCCTTTATGATACGTTTTTGTTCATAATTCAGGCACTACTTTTTTCCAGCCTGGATCTTGAATATTGATCTTGCAAACTGATCTGATATAAAAGACAGTTTCATCAAAGGTCAGTGCTACCCAGTGAGTTTTGTTTAAATTGGAGATACCCCCTTCTGGTTTTAACTATTATGATAATGAAAAGAAATCTTTCGAACTTTTTATACTAATGGAAAATTGCACTTCAACCGGACACTGTAGTCAGAAAAAACCCAAGATGTTCCAAAAGAAAAGAAACATGTGACAATTTCTGTCATCTACACTCAGTTCTTGCACTCTTCTCTAGCAAACTTGGAAAATAAAGAGCAGACAAAATAGTAAAAGGACACAGTAAAACCCAGCTCCAGATAGCAGACTGTGAATTAATTAGTAGACCTTGTTGCCTTTTTTGGGGAAACTCCCTTCTGTTAAGGCTGCTGGGAATAAATTAATATTTAATGAATTATAATTATCAACTATGAGTTATTTAAAAAAAAACCAAAAAACAACATTGAGAGTATTGCCTCCTGTACACAGTCAGCCAAGGAACTGCTATTGCTACCACTTCTGTCCTTGGGAGAAGCGCAGAACTGAAGAAATGTTTTTTTCTCTTTGTGCACATGGATCAGCACAGAGATATATCAGCTGCTGTTGCTGTTGCCATCTGCATGAGGCAACACAATTCTTTTCCTTTACTAATAGCACCTTAAAAACCTAGGATCCTCTGAGCTGTGACACTGAACTGAGTCAGACAATCTGGGTTCAGTTCCTGGCTGTGTTTCAACATCTATGTGAGATGTGTGCTAGCCCTTTGTCTCTGTCCTTTTCTTTCTCCTCCCACCCTTGTTGCATTGTCTGTTTGGACAATAAAAGTTTCGAAGCAGGAACAGCCTCTCACTCACTCTATGCTCCCTGAGTACACGGAAATGACAGTGGAGTCTTTAAACAATGAAAAACACTGATCATTTTTTATAGGATGTTTTCTCTTACCTTGCCAGAGAATCTTGGCGTGTCTCCAGGTTGGGAGAGTTCAGGGTACACATTTGATACAAACCACTGGAAATTTCTACAGCCCAGTCTCTTCTGTAGCTGGAGGCGCTCACTGCAGTCTGGCTTCTCTGCCTTTGTGGAGAAAGGGAGAAAGCATAAGAGCAACAAGGTTACTAGTGTATTTGTGTTAGAGATGCTAGGAGTGAAAATAGGAGTTGTTTCTACCACCTTTTCTAGCCTACATGTTACAGATATCGATATATGTCTCTTATCAATATCTCTTGCAAAGGAGGAAGTCCAGCTATAGCGTTTCTCAAACTTTGTGCTAAAACAGCCACAGTCTGGCATTGTGAGAGAAGTAAATATTTCAGAATTAGCATACATTGTGAAAATAAGTATTTCCTCTACAAATGATTATTATACTGCAAGATAAGTCAGTCTTTGTCATATTTTTATATTAAAAAGTCAAGACCAAATTTGACACTTGTTGCACTGAAATTCAGTGGTATTGTATTGGATTGTCATTCAGTATAGAATTTGTCCCTCTGAGTAAAACTTAAGTCCTGGCCTTTAACAGCCCAGATTATGCAGTTATTGTCAGTCCTTCATGACCAGAGGCATAAGTGATGACAGAATTTAGCCCAAAATATATTATCTGACAGTTACTAAATCTAGTAAACAAATTTGTTTTGCAGCTATAAATGCATAAAACCTTTCCTATGATTTCTGTGTTTTCTCGAATTATAAACATACACAATATCAACTCTTCCTCTGTTCTGCAAAAGGACAAATGCCTTCAATCCTTGGTGCAGTTACGGGCATCTGCACTGCAAAGAACCGACAGTCTGAATATTTGAGGGTATTTAGCACTGAGGATGGCTAACAGGGTTCTGAAAACTCTAAGTAGTTAAGTGTCTAATCCTTCAGCTTCAAAACCACACAAAACAGTTTTCTAAGTCTCTCGGTGCCCAAATATTAAAAACATCTCACAAGCCTTAAGAGTCTTCCTCCTCTTTCTTTCCAGCAATACATCTCCCCCCTTCATGCTTCTACTTTTTAAAAATGCCATTGGGATGGGATTCCAGGAGACTGGTCTGGATTTCTACATCAAAAATTAGGATTGGTAACATAAGCAAAGAATTGCCTGTGAATAACTTTTTCCTCAGACCAGCTATTTCTCTGCATCCATAAAAAGGACTTTGCAACATGGAAAACACTGACAAATTAAGGGCCTTGGAGATCAAGGGCAAAGTATGGGCTTCTAAAGGCAGGGATCAGTCATGCTATGTGGCAGTTTGCCAGCCCCTGTAAATTGCATAGGCAATGCTCAACAGTTGCAATATGTTAAAGAGAACCTCATAGTTTAGTGTCAGTCTTAGATTCAATAAATGTAAGAACAAAGTTCAGCAATTCAGCACCACACAACCCTGTCCCCTAAGAGGTTTTCCTGGAAAAGGGAAGGAGAAAAGTAAAATGCTACCCTTAAAAAGAGATGTCTCTCATGAGACTGCTTTGGCTGAAGAAGATAATGGCAGTAAATCTCATTTTGTCATACTAGTTACAGTCTGCATTTGATGCTGAATAAATGGTGTAAATAACACAAAGAAAATCATTATCCCTGTAAAGCAATCTGAAAGGAAACTGTGCTTGTAAATTAAATAAGCAAACCACACAAGAAAAGGAGCAAAAGAGATGGTGGCTGAAATAGCAGAGAGCTGGGAAGAGCCTTATTCATCTGTTTAATGCTCACACCATGAACATCCTGTGCAAGATGTGATTCAGATCATAAACCGAGAAGGCTTATAAAGGAACCTAACAGGGGTTGTTTTCTGCAGTGGGCAGTATTAGCAGTCAAGGCTCACAGAGAATTTTGTGGTGGCCCATAGGTTGCTCTGCTCACTCTCTCAGTGCAATAAATCCCCACAGGGCCCTTTGCAGCTGAGCAGCAATAGTGTCATTGCTTGTTTGTGCCTTTTGAATGACATCCAGCTGCACTGACATGCTGAAAATATTGGCTATGAAAGAAAGAAAAAGAGAAAAAGAGCTGTTTATGTTATGGTGTGTTGGGCACAGAGATAATAAAATGGATCATTTGAGGGAGCATCATACTTAGAAGTACTGAAAGTATTCTGGCTAGAATAAACCCAGGCAAAAGGTCATGCTGCTTACAGCTAATAAACTGTATCATTGGTGACTGTAGTTTTTAGTACAGAAAATTGCTTCTGAGCTGACAAGAAAAGCCTTCAGGAAATTTTTAAATGATTTAAGGACCTAACTGCCCATTTAAAAAGACTTGGCCTAGTGTGCTCCTTTCGGGTACAAGGCTGAAACCCTTGTGAGTCAACTGACAAACATGTGGCTAGTGGATTTCAAACCTACAACACAGACAAGGAGAGAGAAGCTTTGAAAAAGATGTGAAAATAGAGTCTTTTTCTCCTTAAAAGCATGGCTTTGTTAAAGGAACAGGAAGGTGAATGACACTTTCATTCAAAATTGCTCACAAGTTGGCCCACTGCCTTGTAGGAGAGGATATTCTTTCTTCCCTTCCTGATCTGACAGCTCTTCCACTGGAAGGTTTAATAAAAAGTCCATCCCCAGCACCATGCTCATTGAATGTTTGACTGCACACAGACATCCCCACCCCTATTCCACCTTCTTCACCTACCTCAACTCACATGCCTTCCCTCAGAAACAAACCACTACAGATGTCTTTACCTTGCTGATTAAAAAAGCCACTGTGTCGTGCTTGTAGAAGTTCTCTTTGAATGGGCCCAGCCAGGTCTCTGCTATGCGGATTTTGTTCCTCACAATGGCCTCCTCATAGGCGAAAGCAGCGGGAACGTGATGGCGATAGACGTGCCCAACTCGGGAGCATGGAATAATTTCTACAGAGCCACCACAGAGCCAGGTCTGGAACACAGGTGAAAGCACAAAAGGAGATTACCTTATTTGGATTACCTTTATCTGAAAAGGAGAAGCTCCTTTACTCTAGGCTCTGCCTCAGGAAATCCTAAGCTGCACATTGCTGGAAACAGCAAGAGCCTTATTATATTCTTTATACACTGTTCCCCACAGATACAGAGGCACAGAGAAGATACTGGGCATTCAGACCTCTGGTTTGACCCAGCATGGCTATTTATATGCTTTTATGTTTTTCTGTGCACAAACAGTGCAGTGTAGTGGAAGGACCTGGGAGCACACCTTCTCTTGTCTGGGACATTAAAAAGACCATACCCTTCATGCCTGCAATTTTCATTGCTTTTTAATCTTAGTTACTCTTTGTATTCAGCAAAAATCAATGCAAAGGATTTAATATTAATAATTTGTTATTAAAAGTACAGGTTGGCAAAGAAATAAAGGTACTCTCCCTTTGGTGCATGTTACACGCCAGAATAGAAGAGGCAGCTTTCAGAGGGTGCCAAAAGTCCTCAGGCAGATACTGATAGTCAACAAAACTTCCTTCTCCCGACATAATGCTCCTAAATCAGAGCATCTGCATGTTTTTGTCCTGACAGACTGCAGAGCGTGGGGATAGATTTCTGCAAAGAAGGTTTTAATCTGAATACCCTGATAAGTTTTGCACTTCATTTATTTTATAAATATCTTCTTGCCTTTTCATTTAAGTTCCTTAAAAGCCCAAGAGTTACCACAGTTTGATGTTTTAATTAAGGTTCTTACCCTTATAGACAGCTCCAGATTTTCTGCTCCCCACATGGTCATGTCAGAATCATAAGCTCCGGTATTTTGGAAGTAATGCCGATCCATGGCCACCACTGCACCAGCTACCACAGGACTCCTGTGTAGAAAGCAGTTTGAAAGTGAACACCTTGAGTTTTGGATAAGGAATTATGTGAAGTGTGAAAATCCCACCGTTTCCATAGAGATAGCATTAAAAATGATTGAATACTGCTCCTATAAGCTTGAATGAATTGATTATCTAACCAAAAGAAAGAATAACTGGAGTCTAATTCCAGGATTTGCCTGGGGAAGGGAGTCAAGAGCTGAATTATCAAATAAGGCTCAGAACAATGGGAAATGTGGAATACGTGTACATCCAAAAAAAGAAACAAACAGATCATGATTAAGACATCTCTTTTAACTCTTTATGACTTGTTCTTGCTTTCCCTACAAACTTCCACACCTTGTCTGGTCAGGCTGTACACCAGTTGTGTCAACGTGTGGAAAATATTGGTCATGTTGAAAGCATGACTGCAATCTAGTTACAATAATTACTAAGGGCCAAAACAAACAGTGTAAACAAAAACCCTATCCCTTCAAAAATATTAACTGAGGATATGCAAGTAACCATATCTCTCCTTTGAGCTGGAAGATGACCCAAACTGTACAGTTTGCTGCTGAGCTGAGTGGAGGCGCATTGTCTGATGGACTGTTACCTGATAGGGCTGATGGGAGACTGTCGTACCTTCTCTTCATGCTCTGGCACTGGTTCCCAATGAAAATCTAATTTCCAATCAAAAACACCTCGATGCAGGCCCACAGAGTGATAGTACTGAAAAGTCTTCCAGTCTATGACATCTATGACGGGGGAGACGACACTGTTTCTGAAAAAGACAATAGCATTTATTTCCCAAACCAAAGCATAAATTAAGTTCACTACTCTGTTAGCAAACAGTAGTTCTCCACTTTGACACTGTTGAGCATAAGCATTCCTCTAAATGTTGAGTGCTCTTATTTTCCCTGCTGATAGAAGCTCAGGTGCTCAGGGCATGAGGCATGCAGTGCAGAATCTAAAGATCAATAATTTATTGATACCCTGTACCTTGCACTGTCATTTAAAACTATTCAGGATTTTGCTATGAATTAACTATCACAATTCTTATAAAGCTATTTCACACAGAGGCCCCAGCCTCTGATGTTACAAGCTCTGCATGGATGCAAAGTTTATAACAAAAGATGATTTTACCATCCTTTGATTTTTCTGTAGCTGTTCCACACACTTCACAAACACTCTACACATAAACTGAAGTTTGTCACTTCAGGCCAGTGAAGAGTGCACTTATCCTTAGTTTGTTCTGCTGATTGTTTTGCAAAAACATCTATTATTGAGTTCATAAACCAGTTTCTGTTTGTGTTTTATCACAAGCTTAAAATGCTCCTGCAAATGCACTGTAACAGTGTAGAATCTACTTTTAAGAGCCAGAACAGAGCCATTACACCATAAGTGGCAATCCTTCAATTCCTTTCTAACTGGAGTTAAATTTGGATTAGTCTGAGAAGAGGCATTAGACATTTCCCCATGGCAAACAAGTCAGTATTTTGCAGCATGCTTGCATATCATCTTGGAATTAACTGGTAGTTCAGAAGAGCCTTCAGTGTTCCTTGTTTCCAGGTCAATGACATATCATATTTGGAAATTGTCATAGTATAAAGGTAACATTATCTATTTCTTCTCTGTTATGCAAAAAGGATAGCCTCTGGTCTCAGTGTAAGGGCTTGGCTATAGTTCCTCTGGAGAAAAATCAGTAATATTTAAGAGATATTAAAGTATGTTGGAAAAAATTACTCTTGTTCTAGAGCAGGAATGTCCATATAGGAAATTATTCTTGAGTAGTTATTTTCCTAGAAAATAACTTCTGTTTAGAGACAGAGAGAAATGAAATGGCCAATTTTGGGGCAAAAAGTAGATTTTTTTTATCTCCTCTTTTAAAAATTTGTATGTTGGTCAGAAATCGCTTGAGACAAATTTGCTTAAAACACAATACTGTTAATGAAGAAAGGACATCTCAGAAGTCTCCAGTGCAGTGAGGCATTTGTACTTTTCCACAGCAAAGACCAGAACCAGTTGAGAAAGAGGGTAGCTCTGGGCGATGTTAACGTAATCTTGACATATCTTCTCTGCCTCTACAATCATTAATGTTTTTTCAGTATCAGAGTGGGGGGAAACTCCAAACTTAGTTTTATCATAGTTGACATTTCCTGTAGAGAATTTTAGAAGCCCATGGAGAAACAGAGACTACTGATTGCCAGTGAATTGTATAAAGACAAACTATGAAGGGGATTTCTTTTAAATGACTCTGTTATTTTTTTATTTCCTAATAAAAGCAGACTGTCCTATGATAAGCTAAAAGCAGGAAGATTTAAAATAGAAAAGTGATTATATTTCTCTGCTCACATGTAAAACCATCCTTTGTAATATGCAATAATAGGCACTCTTAGAAACAAGCATTTGGTTTTATAAATAGATGATAAACTTTTATAGTCACATGCAGCATTTGTAGGCATATACATTAAGGCAGTGAGTTGCTGTCATCCCTCTGCAGGAATCAAGAAATGGAAAGAAATTGTACTAAAAATAATAAAGCTGATATCCTCCCCTGATTCTCTTAATGATAACCCTGTGACACAGTTTTGCATCCAGGACAGGAGAAACCACTTAGTGCTCAAGCCAGCAGGAGCCTTTCTACTGAAAGTTTTACTCACTAACACCACTGAAAGGAAACTGTTTCTAAGTTACTGAAAGACAGTGTCCTGATGGACTCACATAAGCAGGTATTTTTCCTTTGATATGCTGGGGAAAATCCACCTAACAAGTTAAATGGATTTTATGTGACTAAACTTCAGAAATTAAAAGTCACTGTAATAGTAATTTCCACAGCCTACTGTGTTCTCCAGTGTTTGAGTATCTCTGACCACTGTCTAGTTAGGAGAGTAGCTGCAGCTGTACACTTCCCACCTCAGTTTGCTGCTACTTGCTGAAACCCACACTGTCTATTGCTACTGGTTTATCCATTCTCATCCAGACAGGACCGAGGAACTAATGACCCCAGGGTAGTTTATTTTACAATTTCAGAGTCAAGAGGAAAATACCAGGAGGGAGTATTTGAGTGAAAGCCAGAGGCAATGTGGATTAAACCATTCAAAAGACCTTGACCATGAAGACCAGACCACATGAACTGAACTGATCTTGAATAGTTTGGACAGAAACAGTGCAGATACTTAGATATGCTCCTATATATTCTGGATTAGATGATTTCAGACTACCCTACATTTTCATATTATTTCATCCGTTTAAAAGCTGTCCTTCTTTTTGGATCCACCTTAAATTGTTGCCACTATAAAACTCCAAACTCCAATGATGCTTCTGGTATCAGTGCAACTGCTCACAAGAGTAAGTACCACAGTAGTAGTTCTTGTAACTGGGCATTGATTCTTCAGTGCTGTTCAAGAAAAATACCTGTAATGACATAACAGATTCTAATGGTTTGGAAACCGAGCAAATATCCAAACTATCTGCAGAGTATGATGTGAAAAACTACAGTGTTCAAGACAGCTGAAAATAACTCACTTGAATAGGTCCCATTCTACATTCTACCCTGGCTAAATTCAACAGTAAACCAGAACAAAATAAAATCTACAATTGTAGAGTGCAAACTGATAACTGTGTTTTAGAACTACTAATCTAGTAACTCTTTCAGAATGCCAAGATTAACATTTTTCAAGAGTATGTTTGTAAGAGTAATTCTAGATCTTCACCTAATATAAACTGGTGTTGCTCTGCTGAAACTAATAGAAACACACCTTCTTAAAACTAAAAATTGGGAGGATCTTTCTGATCTGAAATAGAGAAATCCAGAAATTTTATCTTGTGTGAAAAGTGGTTAATGTCCAATTTTAATCTTAATCAAGCACTGTTTGCCTATTTTTTGGTTGGTATTTTCTTTAAAAACAAAAAAAATCCGTTTTCTGCATATTCAGAGATGATGGTTCTAAATGCAAATTTGCAGAAGAAGGCAATTGAAAGTTGGAAGATGTTCTTACATACTCTTCTTGTTTTTAACTGCATAACTGGCAGACAGCAGCTTCTCAGCACTTTGAAATGAAACGTTGGCAAACTACTGCTAATTTTACTCTGTGGAATCCAAGGAAAGGCAAAAACAGGAAATTCAAATACGACTAGCAGCAAGGCTTTGAACCACTTGATGAATTTGTGAATATTTCAAATGCTTGGAATGCACATGAACTACAAAAGGTCACAATTCCATGAAAAAGAGAAACCCAAACAAGAACAGTTTCCTGGTTTGGGATTTCTCAACCAAATACAATTGGTAATGAAATGTCTTCCCATGACCCTTTACAGTCACCATGGACATTATGTTCTTTTCTGGTTTTAGATTAAGTAACATGAGGAGAGGAAGATTTAATTAACATATCTGTTTTGAAGTTTTAGATACACTTTCTTTGAAAGTGTTTTTTATTGACTTATACTTACTTCGAATTTTGTGTATCTGGGAAGGAAACAGATTTTAATCTGTTGAAATCCCCCCTTTAATAAGGAGGGAAAAACCACCAAAACTAAACAGGAAGATCATGTATTTTCCTCAGTTTCAGAGGGGATTACTCTTGCAAAAATTAGATATCTAGGAAATCCAGGCAGTTCAAGTTCTCTGTCTCTGCCCATAGTTTAAACTTCAGTGAGTAACTGAGGACCCGAGCTGTTTCCACAGCATGCTGCACTTTCACTGAAAGCACCTTCCTGGCTAACTGAAGTCTTAGCAATGCAAAACATTTGAAATTAGATAAGGTTAATAAAAAGATAAAATGCAGTGATCAGGAATGGTAAAGAATTACTTAAATACTGCCCTACAGACCAACTCCAGACTAACTCAGAGCATACGAAGGGTCTCCTTGAATAGACAGACTATTCATATGCTATGCACTAAACAAATCCTGGCTAGGTAGAGTGCAAAGGGAATGCTGTATTAAAAAGTAACAATTTTTGAAGCTGTCTTTTCTGCTAAAATGCTCAAATTTGTATGTGGGGTAACAAAATCTGTAGGCGTAACCAACACGTTTTTACACTGGACAGTCAGGGCGCTGTGCCATGAATTACACCTAAATCCTCATTGCTCCTGTGTTTAGCAGTAATATTTGCTTTTGGTTTTAGATTCTCATCCTCAGTTTCTTTACCTCAACTTCTTTAAAATAGGTCACCTTTTGATCCTGATTAACTGTGAAAGATTGTAAAGAGATAGCACATCTTCCCATAACATACCATGTAAATGCAGAACATTTACTGAATTTGAAATGAATGTTATTGACAAATAGAGGATATAAAAGGATCAGGCAAACACAGAAATCCCAGGAAACAGGCTGTTAAATGTGAAGGATATGGAAGGTTTTCAAAACAAGGAGAGTAGCATGGAGTTGCATGCTCACATGCTGGAGTTGTGTGGGATCTGAATGGATAACATCATGCTTGCCTATGAGAAGTTAGAAAACAGATGGCTTATGTATTTTGTAGCTCAAAAAGCTGGGATATGGGCCACTGAAAAGTGGGGAGTCATATGAAAAGAGATGAAGGAGCTGTTCATCGTTGGTGCAAAATATTTCTCTTTTCTCTAGTATATTGCCACAAAATCAGAACCAGACAAATTTTCTGGACAGCAGAGCTCTGTTTTATATTCCTGTATCTGCAAGCTGAGGCTCCCATTTACTCCTGAATGGGAGCAGACAGATGATGAAATACCTTTTCACTGCTATGCTAATTTCTAATTCTGTTTATCAGCATTTTCATTAAAGATTAGTGACCTAGAATCATGGTGCTAAGTGGAATTTTAGAAACTAGATAAGCTTTTTAAATAATGTTAGGGGCTTCTGTGGTATAGGCAGGGAGAGTGAAACACCCTTACAATGAGGAGTGGGAGAAAGGTCCTGAGGGCCAGCTACCCCTTTGCAAGCCACCCCTCTGCCAGAGTTATGGTGCCCAGACCTTTTTTAGATGTGGAATTCCCTGTCAAAGAAACAACCAAGGTTCATTTTGCTTTCATGAGTATTCTCAGGAAACATTCTTTGGATCTTTTTTTTTTTTTTTTAATCATCCTGCTTCAGCATGATGGCCACTGGTTTCGGATTAAGGGAACAACATTTTCAAGGCTTCATAGTACAGTTCATTATATGCTCCCTTTGCCTTTCACTGCCTTTGGACAGAATACAAAATAGCAGCTGTCTTCTGCAGTCTCCTGGAAAAGGCAAACCTTTCAAAAGATGACTGTAATAATGGCAGAGCTGCATTGCTATGCACCATACGACTCACCTGGAATTAGCTTGGAACACAAACAGTTGTCAAATGAAATTATCTGTGGGGCATCTGCTCTAGTTTTCTAATATTGCCCAGGTACCTACAGTATTCATCCTTGAATAATCAAAATGTCAAGGAATGCTTTACAAACCGTTGAACCATTCTCTAGGCAATGTACTAGGCTGATGCACAGCTTCCCAGTCAATTTGTTAGGTATGGTTCACAGAACTAATCCCAGTCAAGGTGCCCATAAATGCACTTTCAATGATTTTAGAAAGACTTAATACTTTTGTGGAAAAATATATTTGATTGTGTTAGTGAATAAAACCATCATGTAGAGAGATGAAATATCATCACCCAGAGCAAGTCAAATATCTGTCAAATATTTCCATACCTGTAAAACTGGAATAATTTTTCTTGTATTTGTCCTATCTGTCATTTCCACAGGCTACTAAATGCTGGGGGTAACTCTCTTGTTCTATGTTCAACTCACAGTGATGTCTCAGTTCGGGCAAGGATCTCAGCATCATTCTAAGACAGGTCACAGTAATAGCTGTAGATCTGCAGTCTAGAAAATTAGGCTTAATCACAATTTTCAAAGTTAAAACATCCATCCAGATCCTTTAAGCTCCCGCAAAGGTTTGAGCTTTGGAAGGGCTGCATTTTTCCTTGCCAGCAAACAACTCACTCTACATAAGTAATTTCCCATCCTGACTCTCCAGCAAAAGTGCATGAGTTACAGCTTGATTGGTACATTAAGAAGAGGAAAGATGGATATTTCACCAGACACTGTAAGCTTTTTTTTCACTGTACTCTCCTCATTTGGGTAGTCTCAGGGAGTGAACATGATTTAATTTAACAGCTCCTCAGCTGCTAAATGAAGCCAAGTTGACTATGCTTTACATTTCCATGGTGATCCCCATACAAGCATTACAAACAATTTACAAAAAATCATGAATTAACTTCCTTATCAGGTCAGTGTTATTATCACCATTCTTCAGCTGGAGAAAGAGGGACGGCATGAGAAAGTGATTGCCAGATGCCTTAGAGCTTGTCTTCCCTGTGCAATGGAGAATGTCACAGGTTCTCCCCACTAGCAGTGACAAAGCTTCCAGGGTCAGGCACAATGACTGATAAGGCATAAAGAAAGGGGTGGTGTAGCCCATACTATTATCCAAACACTCTTCCACCTTTGCTTCATTAATCCAATTAGACATTAGCTAACTCAGTGTTAAATTCTGCTCTCCTGGAGGAGTGAATGAGTATATGGGCCTTATAGAGGAAGAGAATTCCTTCCTCACTCCCTGGTGACAGGGCTACAGAATCTTGGAACGATAACAGATTTGGTGGCCTTGCATTTCCTCAACAAAGACAATTTTTGACATTTGTGGTGGGGTCCTAACTTCTCTCTTGCCATTGTAATTCTCCCTTCACTATAGCTCTCCTGAAGACTTTTTGTAACTCTTTATTTCAGCAATACACCCTTGAATAAGGACTGATCAACACACAGGAGTTTTGCATGAACATCAAAAATAGACTGTAGCTCAAGGCAGAAGAATCATGAAGTATATTCATAATAAACCATCTAATTAGCCAGCAAACAAAAATAATTTGCTTTTCCAAGGAGGAATCTTTTCAAAAAGAATATTCCTGATGTCCTAGGGCAGCATTACTCTTGCTTTCAGTATTCTTAATGTTTTCATTCAAATGATGTAATAATTTCTAAAAACTCACATTAATTCTCTTATAAGCAAACATAATAAGCCATAAAAGCATCTTGTTCCAGTGCCTGGGAACAGCCTTTGAAGGTCTTTAGTGTGACTATTTAATGGTCTGGTAAGAGTTTTAAGGACTTTTTTTTTATTTTACCCCCTCTAGCAGGTAATCTTTTCCCAAGTGGTTTATGGGTAATGATAGACAAGTTAATGTACAAATTTTTCTTTCAGAAAAGTCCCTTTAATAAAGGATTTACTGACATGTAACTCTAGAAACATTTGCAGTAGTTTTAATCTCTTTGAAGGATTTGTGGACTGCATAAATGAGCTCAGCTGTTCACTAGAGAGCAGGCCCAAGCACCACCCTAAATATGAAAGACTCAGAAATATGAATCTCTACCTTACTCTGTCAATTTGGTGTCAGTGAAAGTACCTGTGATTAACTGGAACTGTCTAGGCTGCCCAGGAAGTCTGTTTTTTTTCTGCAGAAGAGAAATGGCATGGGTGACATTTGTACATAGCCAAATTGGCACAGGAGGACAAAGAATTTTGTTCTTGGCTTTATCACTGAGACAGCTAAAAAGTAAAAATAATGGAGTCACACAGTAGTTTCTCTGGTGGATGTTTGCCCATTTGCAAAGAAGTTGAGAGTGCAACCTTTTTAATTCAGACCACCAGGAAGCCTTCTCATAGCTCTAACTGGATACAAACGCTGACATTTCAGTGACACTGAAGTGTGTGAAGTGAGGGTTAACAGCTGTGTGACCTGTCCTGCTTCCCACATATCAGAGTGATGCATGTGGGGATAAGGTAGAAAATAAAAGCAATGTGACCAGAAGCAAGAAGGTAACCAAGGGAGGATAAAAAAAAGCTACCCAACACTTTCCAAGTACATTTCTTTCAGCAGAAATGAGCATGTACAGTTTGCTCAGAGGCCACAGGGATATTTACCGGTTGCTGGAGAGCCTGGCCAGGAGGGGCTCCAGCCAGCCCTTCTGACACTCGCAGTGCGAATCCATGAAGATGAGCACATCACCGGTTGCCCGTGCAGCTCCTAGCATCCGACCCCGGATGACTCCAAGCCTCTTGTTGCTCCGGATGAGCTTCACACCATCCAGCTTAGAGATGTATTCACTCAGAGCTGACTTCAGGGGCCCTGTCAGAAACAGAACAGTCACTGAAATGTTTTAGCTTTGATTCAAGATTTGTTAAAGAAAAGCAACAAGTAGTAGGAGATGCTACTTCTTGCTGGTAAAATGTTTTGGGGGCATTTGTTTTAAATGGCCAAGTAGGCCACGTTCCAAATATTTCCACAGCGGCATAATGTCAAAGGGAAGTAGAGACTAATGGAAAATGAGATTCACTAGGTGTGAAGTTATTCCTTTGGGAAGCTTAATAGCCTCCTCTCCTGTTTTCAGCAAAAGGTGGATGTTCTCATCATCTAAAAAAAATACACAGATCACAGTGACGTACTACAGGTGTTTGGCTTTCCCAAGCACTTTGGATTACTTTAGCATTGTGGAGTTTTCCATTCTATGTTTCAGCCAAAATACAAGTCTGGAAATTATGGCAGCAGATCTGGTCCAGTGGGAAAACTAAGATTTGCATACTGTGATCTTATTTTAAAGTAAGAAATTTCAGAGTGGTTGTAGATGATGAGGGAGAAAAAGAAGCATATTTCAAAGTTGAAAGGCTGAATTCTAAGGATGGAAGAGTGAAATCTGGGAGCCAGCTCTGGGCTCTGCTTAGCTCTCTTTCTGAGAGTCCTCGTTGCCTTCTACTCTCCTCATGCACTTCTTGGAGGAGGACAGCTTCTTCCCCGAAGCTTTGGAAAAAAGAGGGCAATTTTACACACAGAGAAATAGGGGCTACCTTGCTGGCTGAGATCGTCAACGAGGATGATATCCTTGAGGGAGGCCTTTGGGGCTGTGTCCATAATGCTGTGCACGGTTCTCAGCAGAGTAGACCAGGCTTCATCATGGAAACAGATGATGACACTTGCAGTAGGCAGACTGGAGTCATACTTTTGCTGTAGGCACCTGCGGGATCAAATGAGGAAGACACTGGAAATGCTGGTACAGCTGGCTACTTTTTTCTCAGAGCAAAGTTGTTAGCAACTCTTAAACCTTCAGGAACGGAAAGCAGTTTAAGATCTCAGCTTAGTTCTAAGAAAAGGAAGTATTAATGTGTCCCGAACTGGAACACAAAGTGAAAACATGGGAATGACACTATAAAAATTAAAATACAAAAAGAAAAGTTTTCCTGTGTTTTGGGATAGTTTGTTTTCTGCTCTGGCTACCTCAAAAAACAGAGCTCAAAATAGAAATGGTCCAGAGAGCAAAGAAAAACCATAAAGACAATTAGACAGAGCAGAGAGGGAGATAAAGCAAGTCAGTCAGCCTCTACCATTTTCCACATTTTCTCAAGTAACAGAGAAAAGAGCAAACTGAAATGCAGTACCTTTAAAACTAACAACTGAGCAGTAGACGTGACCAAGATCCTAGTGAATAAACACAACATCTCAGTCCTCTACAGGAAAGAAATGGATCCCTACATGGACCATGAATACAAAGACAGATATATTTAAGAAAGTAAATGTATTTTCACTATAAATTTTGCTTTTTCCAATGAAAATGAGTCACTGATGAATGAGGCTGACAACTGGGCAGATTCTCTCTGTACCATTTTCTGCTATTACTTTACAACTCCAGATACTAACACAACCTACTGCAAGACACCTGGCTATGTGGGTCAGTGTATGGCATTCCTAGAGATGATCCAGACTGCAGCTGGAGCCCATGGCTCCTCAGTTTTCCACAGGGCAAAGATTTCACCCATGACTTTGAAACAACTTCCATCAAAATTACCATGAATTAGATGCTACTTTGACAACTCAAGCATTTAAAGATGAAAAACACTTTCCCTTCATCCTCACAGAAGCTGCACATGAAAACCATAAACCCTTGCCAAACAATGGCTGTTTCATAAATGTAAGCAAAGGACCTACAAATTGCCTTCATGACACAAAGTGTTTTCTGATGTACCAGTCCTAATTCAGAGACATAGGACATGCTATCCTGGCATGAAGAGGCACATTTTCCAGAAAATGCCTTCCAATGCCCCTGGCAGAAATGCAAAGACTGTGTCTATATATCTGCTTTGTTTACAATAGAACACACATTTTAAAATATTTTCATTTCCCAAGTAACAGTCATTCAATGCCCTAACTCATTTAATCTCCAGCAGCAAGAACTTCAAGGAATTACAGAATTGGTTGAGTGTGGCCCATTGTTATTTCAGCTTTTTTGTATTACCAAGCAAATCACTATACAGGTTTTACAGTGGTTGTTAAACAATTAGCTACTTAGGAGAAACTCGTGTAAGGGATATAATTTTAATATTGCTATGTTTACTAGCATTTTACTTAGTGCTTCCATTTATTACCATTTTATTTAGTGCTTCCATTCATGGACTGAGGCCCTATGTTGCTAGACACTATACAGACACAAAGCTGCTAATCGTTTAAGAGAATCCATAGTCTGAATGATTTAATTACAAGTACACATAAAGGAATATTATAGATACACTTTTGGAAATATAAATTTAAATGAGCACAATTGTAATAATTTGTTATAGTTTTTAATAGTTCATATTAGTATTTTTTTATAGACAGGCAAATTTTCTTGATGATTTGTGCACTGTAATAAATCTATGTTGCCCTTGGTCTACTAATTTTCTGTAATCAATAATGCTGCTTCCTCACAATTTCATATGGGATAATTGTTTCTATTTTCAGCAGGATGGAGAACAGAATACTCTCGTGACTTGGCAGTGAATATTTTCAAGCAGAAGAATCTAGAGGTAATTAAGAAAAGTGAAGATCTGATGCAGTCCTTTTACTACCAAGCAGCTTCTAATCAGAAACGTTCTACAGATATTAGCACCTATATTTTGCACCGTAACACTACAACATCTTGTTGCTAGTAGTGTGGCTATAGCAAGAAAATAAGGCTGTGTGAAATCTTAATTGGAAAAAGAATTGAAAATAACTGTACTTGAATACATAACCTTGGTGGCAAGTGCTTAGTTGCCATGGAGATTGGCAAAGGCTTGCAATATAGATATCTAATCTTCAGAAAAATTCAAAAGGGTACTGGTATACAGAAATACCTTCCCTGTAATTTGGAGCAGTTTCATAGACTGTCCATCAAAAATTGGCATTTCAAAAAATCAGGAGTGTGACTGATATGAGACATAGTGATTTAATCCAATTTGTGAAAAACAAGGAATTGTCACATGCAGCAATGAACAGAGAGCAATTCTGACATGGCAAAGGCATAGACTCCCACTCACCTTCAGGAAAATGTCTCATTGAGATTCAGCTCCCAACAGCACTCCAGTGGAAGCTATACTTTTTTAATGAAACTTAAAACCTTTGTAGATACATTGTGAGTTTCTTTTGCCTGGATATGTTTGACACTCAAGCCCAAGAGACCTTCTTAGAACACCCATCACAAAAGTCACAATGGCAGGCTTGATTGTGGTGTCACAGGAGGGTGGCAATTGCAGCTGGACCAACTGATAGCAGCAAAAAGTATGAAGGGATGGAAGTACCTCAGAGTGCTCTTCTGGTGTGAAGAATTTCCAATCCAATTTCAAGTAAAATTAGAGAGACTTAGTCTATGGTAGTAACTCACTGAAACATCTCTAACTGGTTGGCTTCCCTCTAACTAAATAATAACAGACATTATTATGAACAACACTACTCCAATGGATTAGAGACATACGCAGTCTGATTCTGGTTCACTCTTGTTTTAACACTGGTGTCAAACTGGACTGACATAGTTGTGATCCAGGCCCCCAGACTAAACTACACCTAAAAAATACCATTGTGGTTTGTGTGCTGTGCTGTAAAGGACAGGACTGGCCTAGAGATATACCTCTGCTGCAGGTTTCTGGTCTGGATTTAGATCAGCTTCAGATGTTGAGATCTGAATTTTCAGTCAGGGCTTTGTGAGCTGTGGTGTTGAGAGCTCTTTAGGCTGTAACTAGTCAGACAGCAAAATCCATCCAAGAGCTCTGAGACCATGGCTTAAATCTTACCGAGATTAGTATTAACTAAACCTGTCTCTTGTTGGATGGCCCTTCAGCTGCCAAAGTAAAATTGTTTTTTGGCTCACATCACAGGCAGTAAACCAGAGTCGTCATTCCTCCTTTGAACATTACATAGTTGAAAGAGTTGCCAGTGAAGCATGCCAAAAAATAACTGAAATAATATCAGCATCTCATTATTTAATGGAATTATCCAAATTAACACTGAACCTAGTCACCAAGTACAGAAAACACTGTTTCATTTATCTTTCTTTGAGACTGTCCCCTAAATTGTAGCTGCCAGCTGCCTTTAAACATGTGAAAATGAACACTAGAAAGCAAAATTATTCTGTGTCTTGCTTAAAATGTTTTCTGTTGCATCTTTCCACTATGTCCTGGAGGAAAGCTACAATAGTTTTCATTACCGAAGGCAAGAAATAAAGATACCCACCCACATTCTTTCCCTCTTCCTTGGGCAGTGAAGCATATTACAGAATCCATTAGGTTGGAAAAGATCTCTTAGGTCATTGAGTCCAAGCTTTGACTGATCACCCACCTTGTCAGTGAGACCATGGCACTGAGTGGCACGTCCAGTCCTAAACACCTCCAGGGACAGTGACTCCACCACCTCCCTGAGCAGCTCATTCCAATGTCTAATCACCCTTTCTGTGAAGAAATTCCTCCTAATATCCTGAACCTCCCCTGGGGCAGCTTGATTGTAGATACACCTCAGATCCTTTTTAAGAAGCGTGATCAGCTGCCCCTCCTGGGCTCCTGGGACAACTGACTTTCAAGTATCCAGGCTCCAAATGTAAGGCAGTGGCCTTACAGCCACTTATGGTGGTGCTGGCAGCTCTGGTCAGACACACCGATCTCCACCTTCCTGCCTTCCAGGAGTTTCCTTTCAATGTTTGTCACAGAATCACAGAATATTCTGAGTTTGAGGGGACCCACAAGGATCACTGAGTCCAATTCCTGGCCTCCACAGGACCATCCCCAAGGGTCACACCATGTGCCTGAGAGCATCATCCAAACACTTCTTGAACTCTGTCAGCTTGGTTCTGTGACCACTTCCCTGGGAAGCCAGTTCCAGTGCCCAACCACCCTCTGGGTGAAGAACCTTTTCCTAATATCCAACCTGACTCAACTTCAGGCTATTCCCTTGGCTCCTGTCACTGATCACCACAGAGAAGAGATCAGTGCCTGTCCCTCCTCTTCCTCTCACAAGGAAGTTGTTACTGCAGTGAGGTCCCTCAGTCTCCTCTTCTCCAGGCTGAACAGACCAAATGACCTCAGCTGCTCCTCCTACAGCTTCTGTCCTAGGCCCTTCACCATCTTCATTGCTCTCCTTTGGACACTCTCTAATACCTCGATATCTTTTTTATGTTGTGGTGTGCAAAACTGCACACAGTATTCAAAGTGAGGCCGCACCAGCTCAGGGTCGGGTCCATTTTGATATGTGACCATTGGGTCGCTTTTATTCTAAAAGACCTGAAAGCCCCAACTCCCGACTGCTTTATTGCTTGGCAAGGCCGTAGCCCATCACAGCCCCGGCACACGTGGGCTGAGCGCGGGGCCTGGCCGAGGAGGGCAGCCGCCTTTCCCGCTCGACATCCCGGCGCGGATTCCCTTTCCAGCCCCAGCAGACGGACAGACGGACGGACAGACGGACGGACAGACATCCGCTCGCACCTCTCCCTCCGCTGCCACCCCCGCACCTGCGGCGGCGGAGGGCGCCGGGAGGGGGCGCTGCGCCCGCTCGCCCTCAGGGCGGCGCGGGGCCGGGGCGGGGCGGGGGGAGGCGGCGCAGCCGCGCACACGGGCACGGCGGTCGGCTCTGCTGGGGTGGGGACCATGGGCTGTGGTTTTCTTTCTGACTCGGGAAGCCGTAGCTGCGCCCCCAACCCCGCGCCCCCCTCCACTTTTGCCGCCCGTCGGTTCCTGAGGGCTTGAACCCCCTCCGGAGCGAGGGCGGGAGCGCCCCTGCCTCTGAGGAACGGGGGGTGCTCCCCACGCAGCGCGGGGAAAAGCGCTCTCCCGACCCGGAGCGGCGAGTTTGATAGGAAAGACGCGGGGTTTGGAGGCGGAGAGGTGCGGGGGGGTGGGCGCGGCGGCGCGGAACGAGGTAGGTTTTCCCCCAGAAGTGAATAGGGTATTTTACTTACAACGGGTGTCGTACCTCAGGCAGGTCCCTGCGCAGCGCGATCCGCTCGCTGAGCACTTCGTTAAAGCCGTGGGTCTCCAGGCCGAGCGGCCGCTCCCCCGGAGCAGCCCCTTCCCCAGCCTGCAGGGGTAGGGACAGCGGCAGGGACTCAGGGTCCCCCTCCGCCTTCCCCTCTGGCCGCCTGCTCTGCTGCTTCACCACGCGATAGCCCTTCCTGGCCTTGCTGTGGTTCCTTTTGCCCGGGGGCGACACGACGGCCACGATCAGCTCATCCTCCCGCAGGGAGATGAAAGGCGATAGACCATCCAAAGGGTAATACTGCTGGCTCTCCTCCTGGGTCTCCAGCATCTCTTGGGTCTCCGCAAAGTCCATCTGATACCCTTCCCGGGGGTTGAACTCCACAGGCTGGAAAGTCCCTTCCTTGCTCTGGTTGCTGGGTGGTGGATTCAGCATTGTAACCATCAGTAGCAAAAAACCCAGCATCAGAAACAACAAGAAAAACTGCAGCTTACGTGATCCATATCTGCACTTCTTCCTCAAGAACATGCTGTTGGTGACAAAACAATACAGATGGTCATGTTAAATATCACTTCGATCTCCCTCAGATTCCAGTCCTCGGGTTGCACAAAAGCCCTGTTTTTCACTATCTGCCAAGAGGATTTTTTTGCTCCCCTCACATTTCACTGATGCAGTTTCATGCTTTCCTCTCTATTTACAGAAAAAAATAACATTCCTATTAATATTTTACTTACTGTAGTAAAACGTAGCATGGATCCAGTGAAATAAAGTAGATCCTTTATTGAACAGAGTCCCAGCTTAGTTAGGAAAGCACATATTTTGCTGATCAAAAGAGTAACTAAAGCTTTGATTTTTTTCCCTTTTAAAATTCTAAGTCAAAAGAAATCCCGTTTCTTATAGTTTCCTTCCAGATAGATCCTGCTTCTTCAAAGTTTCCAACTGCTGCCTGGATTGAAGCACTGTATCTCTGAAAGCAGATCTGACAGCTCTCCTCCCTTCAGAGGCTTTAACTTAACTGTGATCAACAGATGAGAACTAGTCGGTCCGTGACTTTGTTTCACACATAACTACGGCACTCAGTCAGGAAGCACTTTGCCAGACATAATACAGAGCAATGTGTGTGTCTTTCTCTTGGTCCTAATGCCCTCACTGTGCTTGTCCTATCAAATCAAAACTTTGCAAAAGCTGTAAGAGGTGAAATACAAGAAAAAAAACATTGTATTAGAAAAGAAATCAGGGCACACCATCGATTGCTGTGCTTCTGAGTAGCTGTATTAGACTGAGAATGCTTGGAGCAAGAAGCAAGAATTTTATAAAGTGAATAAAAGATGGAGTGCACATGTTTTATTTAAGGTTATATTTATTCATATGATAATGTGTTATCTAGTGTATATTTCATATCCAATAGATATTTACAGCTGTAGGGATTTTAAAACTGACATAAGGGTGCCAAATTATCACCTGGCAGGCTGAAGTTGTCTCCTCATCCATAAATTTGGTATTGCAGGGCAAGCAGCACTTTAAGTTTTCGTTAGTCCAGAAATGTGTAGAAAGCCTGGGCTGGAACAACAACCACTGACAGTGAGAGAAAGCAACAACTTCTGTGATTGAAAGGGGAGCCCAGCCTCTGAGGTCTGTTTGCTAATATTGCTGGCAGTGGTGCTACTGGGCATGGACTGTGGCTTTTTTTGCTGTGAGATGGATGCTTGTCCAATGGGAGAAGGGGTGAAAGAGTCCACATGCTTCAGCATCACACGCCTCTTGGTCTGGCAGAGATCAGGGATGGAGGTAACTCAGGTGTTACCCACCCTTTTGATGCTGGAGCATGGCATGTGGTGTTTTGCATATCTTGTAATATTTGGTGAGCAGAAAGCTCCAGCTTCAGGAGGAATGTGATTACTGGAGAACTTTCACATTCACGTGTTTATTTAAAAGTACATTTCTAGACATTATAGCCAGAAGAAAAATCTGACGATAAGAATGCAGTATACTCTAAAGGGAACCAAGGATCTGTTCTTTTTTACTTTCTTCCCTGTTACTTACTTCCCTCTAAGATGTTCTGTAAGTTCAGCCTATGGTTCCTGGTAGACAGCTTCCAAAAAGTTAAAAATGAGAGGACACCTATTTTCAAATTAAAATGAGTCATAACCTTCAAAACTCATAACCTTAAGATTGCTGAAGGGATGTAGTGTCTCACACTTCTGTGTGTACTCCCCTGCAGAATGCCTTGAGGTAGTGTGACCAGTCTGCTGTGTCTTGGCACCTTCCCTTCCTCAGCTGTTCTTTAAAAGATACAACACTGCTTTAATCATATCTTGGGTAGAAGGAAGACTGAAACAATATTTTGATACTTCACCATTTTATGTGTCTCCTTTTTTTAGCTTTAATTCACAGAAAAGCAACGTCCCAACCCGCCTTCAGCCCTGAGAATATTACTCTTTAGCCTATTTTTCATAGAGAAAAATAAGTATTGATGGTTTCAATTCAATAGGGAAGCAGCACACATTTGCATTAAAAAAATCTGAGTTCAAAAGCATTCATTTAAATAACAGTACGTGTCAGCCAGAAAGACAAAACGAAATGGAAATGAAGAGACCTGTCCAGGGCACTCTGCGAAAAGCTGGCACCAGCAACTTGCAAAAGGTTTAGTTCCACAGAGTCCCATTATCAGGCATACAGAATAAAATAAAAATAAAATTAAATTGAAAGGAGAAACTGAAGAGCGTGTGGAATAAATGAGAGAAAGCATTATTGGCTTTTTTTTTCTTTTTTAGAGTTTTTTGGGCTACTCAGGTATTTTGATTTACTTCAATTAATATTTTATCCTGGGTAAAATATCTTAACCAGATGCTGTAACAACTCTGATCAAGATAATTCTAGCCTGCACTAGTAATTGCTGTAAAAATGCTGTCTTGTTAAATCCACCTAGGTCACTCATGCAGCTAAGTTTCAGCTACAAATGAAAAGAGACCCAATTAACAAATTTACAGCAATCTTAGACACTTTTGGGACAGAGCTGATAGGCAGCATTATCAATGAAACATATGCACATGGAATCCAGCCTTTTAATATGTCCTGACCATTTTAACAAAAAAGATGATAATTACAGAAGATGTTTGGTCAGTGGAGTCAATTAAATGTGCAAGTATAAAACACTGGGTGGCACACTTCCAGCAGCCTCTATTCCCTCTCCTGCACAATGAGCCTGCCTGAACCATCTCTTTTCAACCAGTATGTTTTCCAACCTCATCTCTTGAAATGGTCGTTTTCTGTTGTCATCATATAAAAGAGATATTGTCTTTCCAATGGATAAGCCCCTAAGTGTCTGAGAGGACACGTCTTGCTTCCGAAATGCATTTGAAGAATAGCATCACTTCCTTATCACCTCACTATCTGGAAGCCAAGAAGACATCATCCATGGTATTTTCTTTTTACCTCTGGTTACTCAAAAGTAGGTTCTTCACTGGGAAACAGAATGGGTTGCTCCTGCTGCCTGCTTCTGGGGGGTTCCTTCTAGGACCCTTTCTTGTGCATCTTTTGATGGAAGAGGAAGGAGCACTGTGTGTCCCAGGCTCTATTGTCCGACCTAGAGCCACTGCCTTCTTCCAGAGGTCCAGATTTTAAAGTGCTGCTTCATGCAAGTAGCCCATGAAGAGGCTGCCTACAAATGGTATTGTTGTCCTTGGACTGCTGTTCCACAGCAGACTCTAGAGCTCCTCAGTCAGTGGGAAAGGAACATATTACAGGTTGTGCCAAACATATCAGCAATTGCTCCAAAAAAAGGGCCAACCTGCAGTGCTGATGTTGGCCAGTGCCAATATTGTGTTGACTTTTCCTGCTGCTCAACCTAGGCAAGAACTGAAAGGCTTATGTTCCTACCTGTTCTGCTCAGGTAGGAACATTTATACCTTCACCCAGTTGTGGAAGGTATAAATACCTTCAGTAAATGCAAAGTCAAGCATTATTGACTACTCCATTCTTTAAAAAAATATTCACCATCTTTTAGTATTGCAAATTTTGCTCATTAATTGTCAAGAACTAGAACATGAATTCAAATCTAGGTCTTATCCGTAATTCAAAAAGCATAGGAAACGTAGTTGCCTTTTCCGGAGTAATAAACCTTTCAGTCAGTGTGCTGTAGCTGTTTGTACTTACTCTTTCTTCCCCACCTCATTTTGACTTGCATTTTTGCCCAAACTATTCCCCATCACATTCTCATTAAATATTACGTGACACGTTATGTTATCCATACATGAAGAAACAACACATATTTTCAATGTGCAGAGCCCATGTTTTACTGCCAGGAATATAACAAAGCAAGAACAAAACCAAGGCTGGATGGAGGAAGGTGTGTGTGGACAGGTCATTACTTACTCTTTAATAAACATCTTGGATTGATTTACACTCCTATGCCAAAAGCAGATGTACCACTTCCATTCAAAGACTCAACACACAGCAGCACTCACGTTTTTGTAGCTGCGTGTATTATATGCCACAGCACTGTAACAATGGCTTTATTTGCACAGATGTGAAGAAAGTCAACGCATAAAATGAGACCAATTACATGGTGCACTGGATTTCTGGTGTTTTTGTAATCAAGTTACTTTCCCCGTTCTTCTCATGATACAATAAGAGATACGTATTTTTAGATCATCAGAAGATGTAATTTATTTGCAAGTGTTGCAGATGTTTTGTGTGCTTGACGTTGTAGCAAATATCGTTCATTCAATGGCATTTTCTAATAGACAATAATAAATTAGAACAAGCTCTGCGGACTTGCTTTTGGAGGCTATAAAAGCTTGATAAAATCTGTTTTGATTTTGGCAGGGTTTTGGTACTAGCATTATGATTTATAACATGTTTGCCAAACATTGTCAGTGAAGGAAATGCAGCTGAAATTCTGTTTTTATAAGATTTCTACTTATAAATCATGTGGCCAGTGTAAAATGAAGCATGGAAGCTGTGGACCTTTGCACTGCTTTGCAAAAACAGTTCTGTGGGCATGAAGGTTGGCTGCACTTGATGGAAAGGAGAGGGAATATATATCACAGGAGGGACAGCTTCTGGATTTGCTGTACCACAGTCCCTGGCTAACTCAGAAATAATAGCTCTCAGGACTTTCAGGGCAGTATTATGTACTCCATGCCTCAAACCTAGCCTCTAACACAGTCTTAGAGAGCTACCTGCTATCTGTGAGGGGTGATACTATTGATCATTATTAACCCACCTAGAAATGATGCATCTGAAGTGCAGTGGGCAATGCACAGGCCATCACTTGTACAGGCCTCTCTTACTCAACCACTGTTAATATCCTTGAGCTGGAGAGGATTCTCTATACCTTCAACACCCAGTGCCCCAACCCAAGGTAGTCTGAATCCAGCTTTGAACTGATTGTGACTATTTTGGTGTCAACATCCTTCACTAGAAAATCATCCCGCATTGAGTGTAAGATCTAACCCAGTATTAGGGATAGTGGGACGGGTTCTTTGCTGGCTTAATTGCTGTAGCTTTGCAGGCGGAAATGGAAATAAGGTAGTTTATTCTTTCAGAATGGCTAGTCTGGCCTCTTTGGCTTTAAAAATGAAACAAATGAGGTAAGGGAAATTGATCCCTCATGTAATATTAACAACATCAATACAGTTACTTCAAGGATAAATTCAGCCCAATGAGTGGAATGTCACAAGAAGGAATTCTCTGCAGTGGGTCCCCCCTGGGGATCTCTGCCTGTAGAGTTCCATCTGTGGCTGGGAATTTACTTAACTTCCACAGAACAGGCCATGAAACCATTTGCAAACAGAAATCTCTAGAAATCTGAGTGATACTAAAGGTATCACAGCAAAGCCTTTTTTCCCCACCAAGTACTCTTTTGCTGGTGGGCAGCTCTAACTTCACATCTACTCTATTTCTTTCTGCATATACAGGCAGTACATAAACAGCATATGTTTCCCAGAAACTCTAAATACAGACAGCATTTAAAAGTCACAATATTCATATGGAGAGGCTGTCCCCATAATAAGTATTTTTAGTTAAAATGGGGTTTAGTAAAAAGAAAGAGCTTTAAATGGCTCTG